AAATTTGTTCCGTTAGAGAAGGTCAATTTGATTATTTCGTTTGAAATCGATGCTGCAAATTTTAAAAAATTAGTTTAAGTTTTTTAGACAAAGTTTATTTGCTTCGGTTATGAAAACATTTGATCCAAAATATTTTAATTAACGTGAAATTTATTCAAGATCCTTGTTTATTCCATATAAAAAAACTCTTATAACTGAGGTATTTAACATCGACTTTATTCGAGTGGGATTTTGTTTGATTAAATTTATGGTACCATAATAGAATTTTTTGCATGATCAGTAGGATTTGCTGATTTGAAATAAATTTGAAATAAAGGTGATAGAAGAAAAAAAGATCTAAAACTTTTAACCGTTTACTGAAACAAGGCTTTTAGCTTTTTAAACAAAATTCAAATTATTAAGTGCCTTATTGCCGAGGTTAAGAGTCGCATTTAAAATATTTTATATTTTAGCAAATAAAAATTAATAGTTTGCCAAGCTTTATTCATTAAATATATGGCTTCACATATATCTAATTAATCGTTTCGCTAAATTTTGTTTTTGACTTTATATATGCAATATTGTCTGGAGGAAATCCATAGATTTTTTGTTTTTTTCTAAGCGAATCCAGGCATTTAAAATTGTATTATTAGTGCTTCTTTGATAAGCTTTGCATACATCTTGAAGAAAGTTTATTATTTTTTATTTAAATATTCAAGTTGTTACAATATAGTTTTGTATACGCTGATAATTTTGTGCTAATTGGAGGCATCAGCAGTGATTTGATTCTTTCAAATTTGTTAATTAAAAAAATTGAAGGTATAATGAATAGCCAGAATTCTTGCAAGAAACATTGAATATGAAGTGTTATTGTGGCTTCTGAAACTTATGCTAATATATTAGCCAAACTTATATTAGCTCAAAAACAATAGTACCGTGCCGTGGGTTGGAATGGCCTATTTTTTTCAGATTAGCCTCTTTCAAATTCCAATTTAAAATATTTCTGCTACAATATCTTTATTATGCATTGCAATCAAGTGTGCCTCAATTGCTGCAGAAAATATCGATATATTTGGAAAAAAGTTAAAATATCGGTCTGAATTTCACAACAGTTAGCTTGAATGTTTAAGAAGAAAATCTAAACTTAAATAGTTCGGAGAGCCCGACTTCGGTCGGCTAAATTTAAGACTAACTAGAATGAAATCATAAGAAATAAAAGTAATATGTAATTTGAATAATCACACAAAAGATGAGTTTTGGCGGTCTAAAGCGATTTCTCATAATTTTTTTATTCGTAGCACCAAATATTGAACCAAACTGCTTATTGATGTAGTTTAATTTTTTTCTGCCGTTGGTACTTCGACTTAAAAAAAAAAAAACGAAATTATCTATAAAATTACTTTACACAAATGCTTTCTCAATCTATTTGTAACTTATATTAATGTTAGTTTTCTCTATTTTATACTTTTTTTAAAATTTTTTCAAAATTTTTTTAAAAATTAAATTAAAATATATTATTGCACAATATTTATGCTATACATTATTGTTACATAGCTGTTGCTAAGCTTGACCGTATTGTAAATAAACAAATAAATCTTTAAATAAAAGAATAAAAAAAATAAAATATAAAATATTGCAATAAAATAAAATTGTTGGAGTGGAATTTATTCACTTTAGGTAATGAATGAATACAATAAAATCAAATAAGCAGAAATATAAAAGTTTGTGAGCCAATCAGAACAAAAAGAGTCATTTACAGATTAAAACGAATAGCCAAAAGACTTAGAATAAATGGATGGCAATTTATGACAGTTTGGCCATTAGAGAGGAAAATAGTTTCAAAAACCGCTAATTGAATTCTTGCAATAATTCTTGTTTGGTAATTTTTATTTTTTTTTTTGAAAAAATTTTGCTTAATAGTTCAATGCTAAATAAATAAATGGTTAGCGCTTATAAGTTCTGGTTATAATCGCTGAACTGGCGATCACTATGTTGAGAAACTTTTGTTCCAGAGTCACTTAGCTATAAATAAGTCTTCAGCATCGCTCGATATTTTAACGAAAAGTTTACGCTTACTAGCCACAATACGATCTGAACAGTTGAACGGTAAGCTGCAGTTTCGTGGTGGTTACGAGTAGCACCTTCTCGCGAACAATAGCTGCTCTAACTTCATTCCCTTACTTGATCGGTACTTTAAAAAATCCGCCTAGTAAATTTGTCATGTATGCGCTACTCTTGCGCAGCATACGGTGTACTTAAGTAACAATGTTTTTTTCATAACATTCTTTTTCACAAAATTAAAGTTTATTGATAAATAATAATATCGAATGTATTCATAGCAACATTTTATCAAATTTTCATCAAAATTATTTATTGTTCATTAATATAACTTCTTCATAACGTTGCGTTTGATGAATTATATTCCACATTTTTTTTTTTGTAGTTTGCGCACCATCTATGAATTCCGCAAATTTCAGTAATTGTTCGCTTCGGCGAAGGTAGCAAAAATCGCGAATAGGCCGACAGATTAGCGAAAGCCTTAAGCTCAAAGTTATAACCAAAAATTTATAGAACCAAAATCTATAACCAAAAAACTTTTTGCCTTATTATTTTATTTTAAAACAAATAATTAGAATGCCGTTGACTTTCGCTTTCGAATTTTTGTTGAAAATCACCGATAGAGATCGCTGATCAGTTTTTTCTTAAAAAAATTTCTTTTCGACCTTTTAAGTTTCTTTCAGTAGAATAATTTTCATTTATCTAACATGAAATTACATTAAAAAGACAAAGTCGTTGTAAGAAAAAATTTTTTTACGACAATTTCTTGGTTCTTTCTTTATAATTTTTCTTATTTTTAAATTCATTTCTCTTATATTAATTTCGTCAAAAGCGCAAAGCATAGATTAATAATATGTAAGAATGTGATTTTTACAACGAAAGCGTATTTATCATGCGACAATTTTTCATTGGTCAAATCTTCTGATCTCTTCAGTATTTAATTTCCCTTTGTGATATTCATTTTTTGGCAAAAAATAGCTCTATTAGCTCTGAAGCTTATCGAGCTAAATTCCGATTATTCTCAATTTTAAGCCAAGCTAATACGCAAAAAGAATATGAAACAAAATTCCATTTCAAGTCATGGCGGAATTTCATTAGCCTTGAATGCAATGATAGCCATCTGAGTTGGCCTAACCAAAAATGATGAGCGCTGACCACATACTGGCATTGAATGCCATTCAATTATATTGTACCTGCATCTGTCTAATAAACGAAATTTCGGTTTATTTTCTCAGCCTTCATAAAATTTTGATTTATATCAGTACTACTTTTAAATTTGCCATTTTTTTTCACCTTTTATCAATTATCAAAACTAATCCATAAGCTCATTTTAAGATTTAATGAATAACTTCAATGGACAATTTTTTGCTCGTTTTTTTATCTGTTATCAAAACTGATTCATAAGGGTCATTTTAAAATTTAATGGATAATTTCAACTTCCGGATATCTTTTTTCGAAATAGATTTCACAGCTTTAATATAATGATTTCCTGAGTATTCTCCATAAGAAAATATTATATATCTAAGAAAATATCTTAATAAAATAGTTCTAAAAAAATATCTTAAAATGGTCATTTCAGCTTCACATAACTAATACTCAAGCTGAGCTAAATTAAAACAATTTCTAGAAAAGAGTTTTAATGGAATTCTTGGATCCACTATTTGGATAAAATAAATATAATTCCTTTTTTGTATCCAGCCAATTAGATTTCTAACATAGGCGTTTCTTATCGGCTAATGGGACGAGCTAACATATTCCACAATATGAAAACACTTTTCATTCTAGATATTACTGTAATGAATCCATTATGTTAGTCATCACTGCTTCTTCATATTAAAGTTGCTATTTTAACAGTTAATTTTTACACTAAAATATATATTCATATCATATCATATGCAAAGTTTTTGATATGATTAATCTTTTTAGCTAAACGTTATTTCTTTGCTTATTTATTGGTCATTACTTTCATTATTAATTTATATGATTAAAATATTTTAGGCATTTTGTAATTTTTGATAATTCTGATAACTTCTAAATTCCAGTTAAGTGAAACTTACTTTCTTCTTATTTTTCGATTGTGGAACCAAATTATTACTGCAAAAGACTAACTTTTGTATCATTTTCATTGAATCTATTTATGTCAATTGTTTTCTATTTTTGTATTAGCTCATTCAGCTGTTTCATTTGCTCTTTACCTTAACACTTGTCATCTTTTTATTATCTATAAAATTTAGTGAAAAAAATTTTTGAGCTATATTTGCGTAATATATTACAATTAAATGACTTCTACAAAATGCTTCATTGTTTATTCATCCTGGAATTGTACCGCACAGATTAGTTCAAATTTGTGGAGGGTCGGCCCCGCTGTTATTCGCTATCTTTCAAATAAAATAAAATGTGCAGCGATATTCATCAGCTACTGATCATGAATAATAATTTAAATATCATCTATAAATGCGATGAATTTTATTTATAGTTACCTGACCTAAAATCATTTAACTAAATGATATGAAAGAAATAAATTAATTTTCACCTTTCAGTGGTTAAAAAATGACCAATGACCAATTTTTTTCAGCCGATATTGCTTGAAGACTCTTTTGCTATTATTTTATTTTTATATTTTAAAGAAAAGCATAAAATTAGATGCATAATTTGAATAATTAATTACACCTGCCGAATTAAACGTTTGATAGCTGAAAATTGAGTGGAATGGCCGAGCGACTGTTGCCTCAAGCAGCAATATCCACATTCTACCTCACAAGAATCTCTCATCGCAAAACTCGGCTTATACTACGGATTCATTTATAGTTCTATTTTTAAGCCATTCATGCAAAATTGTATGCAGCCAATAGGCGAAACATAAATGATAAGAGCTAACCATCGGCAATGGAGTTCGCAATATTAATTTAATAAATTCAAACAAATTCAATTAAGGCATTGTTGGTTTATCGTGCAAATTCTGAATGAATATTGAAGAAATCTTGCCAGAACTATTCGGCGAAAAGCGCATTTATTATTGTCAGCGTTGTCTCAATCATGGCTTGGATATAAAACGAAAAAATCATAAAGCAGATTGTATTTATCGATTCTGCACTTGTAATGACTGCCAGGCAAATGCCATTTTCCTATTTTTATTATATTTTTTCGGAAAATTAAAGGGTATTCTAGCAAAATTTTTTTGCTTCATCTATCAAATTGATTTATATTGAATAAGATTAAAAGATAAGATTAAAATATCCTTTGATATCGAAAATTGCAATATGCTATCGAATGATCTAAAAAAATTCGCTTTTTTCGCATGGAAAAGCAACTTTTTTGACGAAAATAAAAAAGATAAAGTAAGGCGAAGGTAAGTAAAAAGAATAAATAAATAAAAATGTTAAGCATATCTCTCATTTTATATGAAAGGAAATTGCGTAAACAGAACCATTGGCACTCATCATCACTTTTTTTGTGGTTATCAAGGTCGTAACTGTGTTTTCAGTGGAGCCGATATTTCGGCTTCAGATTCCTTCTATGCTTGATAATTGCAGTGCCCATCCCAACAACTAAAGATTCTTTAGTTTGATGATAAAGAGACGATTATTATAGATGGTTGATCGAAGACGAGAACTAAACTCTCGCCTACTTCAAATTGAGACGACTTCACCACCATCATCAATAACAGAAACAACTACCGATATGCATCTAATACTCGCACAATCTGCGTCATCTCCACAGAGTACTAAAGGCAAAGGTTAATAGATGCTTCATTAATGCTACATTTCAATAGATAGCATAAAAATAAATAATAAAATCTTTTTAATAGGATTTTTATCTAAAAATAGATCTAAAATATTAGCCTCGAGAAAGCATAACAAAAATTCAATAATGCCCAAAGAAATAATACTATATCGCTGAAAATAGAAAACAAGATGTTTCCTGAATATGTCTTAGCGAATAATCTCTCCGGTCGTTTCTTGAATATAATTGCTATAGTTTACTAATGTATTTGAAATCTATCTGACAACATCTGATGTTGAATAAAGTGCTAGAAATCTATTAAATGGCTTAAAAAACTTGCATAAAATTTACAGAACGACGACCCAATTGCCAACGATGCGCTCAACACTTCGTTCAAGCAAGGCTAAAAGGTCATAAACGTTGTTGTCCTTTTAGAGATTGTCCTTGTGCTAAATGTCAAGTCGTTCAAGAACGTCAGAAGCTTATGGCCGATCAAGTAACCATTTTGTACTTCCAATCCTTTCATTTGCAACTAGTAAAAAGATTCGTCCTTAGGGCGAAACCTTTATACCTGGGTATATCCCTTAATATTTTATAAAACCTTTTTTATACACTTTCGAACTATTCGAACTATTTGCATTATTTTCCCTCCCTAAATACTCATTCTCTTTTAACAGTCTTGTCTTACCCTACCACTCTCTCCACACCCTACCAACCATCATTATGTTCTATTTCTTACAATTTAACAATTAGCACGAAAAAAATGTGATGGGGGATTTGAAGGGGCATAAATGGAACACTTCGGATGTGAATGGTGCCAAGTGCTTATAAATGATAAATTTACTATTATTGAATTATGGAGGAAGCCTATTGAGGTACTAAGAATTTAGCGAAGTTTGGGTACATAAAACTAGATTTTGAATATGAAAAGATTTTAGAATGACGAGCGTAGATTTCACAGTTTAAAACCGAGGTCGTCGTTCTTTCTGGACACATTCAATAAACACAAAAATAAGCATTTTATCGGATAGTCGAACTGCAAAAAAACCTTGTTGTAACGACTAAGCTAAAGAATAGAGAAAAGCATACGCAAGCAAATAATTTGAATAGAAAATCTAAATTAAATATTTGTGGTAAGAAAGGAAAAACAACTGTGCTTGACTCAGATCTTTATTGGCTAATAAGACCTCATATCACATTTTCGAGGGCTTTTGTAAACAAGGCTTAAGCGAGTATAACTGGGTTAGCTTGAGACAGCTTGAGCAGTAATAGGGTGCAACAAATTTTGAGAGTAGTGGAGAGTTATTAAGGCAACATGTTGGGACTTGAAGTTCAAATTTTGTGATAGTTCTTATAATCCTTTAGTACAGCCATTTTCTCAATTTCACAGTTGTACTTTTTTTATCGAAATTAGTATTTGCAAATTATTAAAGACTGCAATTATAGGGAGTTTAAGAGAAGGATTTAAATACAATAAAATTTAAAGGTTGCCAAAAGAACTCAACGGTTCAAAGGAACCTCGAAAGATTGTAAGGGATTTTGAAGAGGTGTTAAGGGAATAGGTCAAGTTTTAGCGACAGGGATTTTGCAACTGTTTAACTCATTCATCTATATAGATATTATTTATAGTAAACAATAATTTTTAATTAATAGATTAAATTGCGTCGGAAGCAAAAAAAACAGAAAACCTTGGATGCTATCATTGATATGGATAACGCAAATATCCCGATCAGTACGTTTATAAATATTCGTTTCTTTATTCGCTTTTTAACAATTTTTCGGAAAAATATTAATGAAAAAATACCAATTGGTTAATTTAAAAAATAAAATTGTGATTTGAAAATTTTAAATCACATTTTAAAAAATCACATTTCAGTGAATATTCCCACTGAAAGATTTTTTATATAAAAAGTTGTATCCATTTCCAGATAATTCGCATAGAAAGCCATTTTTTTAATGCCAACATTTTATTCTGTTTTCTTTTTTTTAAGCTTTGAATATCTGAAATATTAATTTAACTGTAAATACAATAGGAATAAAATAACAAAATAATAATAATGGTGCAATTATAAATGGTACTTTAGTGTGCAACACAAAAGTTGAAATAGGATTGAGAAGAGGAATTGGCTTTCCTTACTAGAGAAGTAAAAAAAATCGTTTTGAGGAAATTGCATCTTACAAAAAAAGCAGTTTTCGAAATCCATGAGCTGCCAAATTTATTTATTCATTTACTGCTAGAAAAGTTTGGTTTTAAATTTAAATAGCTGAAAATGGCTAAATGGCTTCACTTTAAAATATTTAATTCTTTAAATAACACTGAAAATAAGTGAGCATTTAAAGGCTCAAAATAAATAAAGTAAATGAAAAATTCATTTAAAAAATAAAAAAATTACTTACTTAATTAGTCACAACATTTAATATAAAATAATTAATTACTTAATTAAGGCTGTAAGATAAATAATTTAAGCTGAAAATGGTATAATAGGAGGATGCATGAAATGCACTCAACAATTATTTGGCTATCAACATTTATTGTCATTGGTCGATCCGAGCATGATTCTCGATCCAGCATTGATCTCTACTATATTAGCCGCGTACACGAATGGCAATCAATCCGATCTCTAAAAAAATTTTTTTCCATATAACTTCACCATGCATATATTGTCATATACAAGACAAATTTGAGATTTTTTTTTGTATTAAAGATAGAATAATATTTGTGATTGTAAGAAAAATAGAAAAACAGCTGAAAAATTCACTTTATTGAAATCTCATTCGAAGCCATAAGCAAGCAGATGTTAGTTAAATTGTTAGCAGGTTCTTATGTTATCAGCGTATTGTAGGCGAATCGAGATAATTTTGCTAAATTTAGCAAATTAAAAAATAGTTGTTTAGCAGTGAAAATGATAATAATTAGTGATTAGAGTTTTGGATATATATTGCTTTCATATCACTGTGGTTTCAAAAATCAAATCATTTGTATGGTAGATTATATTTCTTAGCTTTACCCTATTTGTAAAATACTTCAAATATTTCGCATATCTTAAAATATATTTTCAGCAAGCAATGGTACAAAAAAAATCCTAAGTCCTGCCTGTTGATATGTTAAGATATATTGGAAAGCCAGAAATCTCTTGCATTGTTACCTAAAATAGTAATATAGTTTCTTTACCATGCAAATAGATATCACTGTTTTTCGATTCCTTAATTTTAGTGGCACAGAGAATTTGTGAATTGTGGCCGAATTTGTGCAGATGAGAAAAAATCGTATTTGAAAAAGCGGGTTTAGGTAGTGATTGTTATAGGTTATATTGGAATTCTAATGGATAAAATTAGCGAAAAAAATTCCATTCTCCTTTTGCTTTGACCAACCAACAATTTAAAAAAAAAAGTGAAATTAAACCAGTTTGCGCGAATAGCGTAAATGACATTTTCAAATTATTTTGATAAATCAGGATTTGTTTTTTTTTTGCTATTTCTATTTTTGCTATTTTTGCCCTTTTTCACTTAAGTACTATTGCATTTCATTTCGATAGTCCTTTTACAGCACCAGTGAGTTCCCAATTACATACATAATTAGAATACATTATTACACAATTATTAAAAAAGACACGAAGTGGTACTACTTTTGCAATTGCTAGGTCCTAATGGTCCTTTCTTAACAATCTTCTTTCCACTCTTCTTGGTTCCATCTTCTTAGTTCTCATTACATTCCTTAAATATTCTCTAGTGCTATTCATTTTGTAATTTGTTATTACATATTTAAATTAAGGAATTTATCGTTGTCTTAGGAAAGAATTTGTAGGATGATTTCATGAAAATTCACTGAACTTCAGATTACTTATAGCTGTTCGGCGTTTTAATGCATTCTATTATCTACAGATAAAATTTAAATAAATAAAAACAGTTATAAAAGATTGGAAACTTTTTCTAAAAAAAAATTTCCCAAGATAAATGAGAAAAAATTTCGCTTGACATCATTTCCAGTTAGAAGTGTTAAATCTTATTTTTCATTCCTCCTTCCTCCTCTTCAAATTCTGCCATGAAACGCATAATAGATATCTAAAATTCCTATAACTGTGCCGGCTCTATTATTATATTGCTTCCAGTAAAATTTTCACGCAGTTATTTAATAGTTAAGAGGTAAGCAATATAATATAATGATATATTACCTCAATTGATAATCAAGCATCATGGACTCAGTTCCTATCTCTTGACAAAATTGCCAGTAAAAGCGAAATTCAAATAGCTACTTTCGTACTCAAGTGATTCTGTGGTCACCATATTCCCGACAGCTAATGGAGTCAGCCAAAACCAAAACAGTCATAAGTATTATTAGATGAAAAGTCTGCTATATTCAAGTAGCGGCAGAAAGTTTTTGCTTGTTCTACGAACTCTTTCTTCGATTCTCTTTAATTTTCCCCTTCTTTATTTCACATAACAATAATTGTTTGAAATAATAATATTGTTGGGTATTTGTTTAAATTAGCACAATTTAATTTTCCTTCTTCATTACTTTTCCTATTTATTTAAAAGAAAATGTCATTGTTTTATTAAAATTTTTTATAATTTTTTGTAATTATATACTTTATATTTTTTGTTCTAAAACATTCTAAATTTTCTGTATATTCATCATATTCAGTCATTCCAGCTTCTTTTAACTGTTTTTTGGCTATTTGCTGTTTGTTCGTACTTTCAGATCTATTTATGAGTTCAGGCGCTTGCAGCCGATGTTACGGCTATTTCTTTTTCGTTGAAGCAAAGTGCTGAAGTTACCGACTTCAGGACGAATAATTTTCCCCTGATATTTTCATTATATTTGTAAAAAATTTTTAAATGATTTGAATAAAGCAGAAGTATGATTTTCTTTTTTTGCATCAATCTTATTTTTTAGCCTTCATGAAAAATTGTCGAGTGCTTCGGTTATGCTCAAACACTATGAGTTCGGTTTTACTGAGATTGAAAATGTCATTTAATAAAATTTGATTGCTGCGAAGGATCCTTCAAGCATTACAATAGTTGTCAGTGGCGATAGCTAAATCGATATCTTTGATTATAATTATTTGATAGGGAATCGAGTATATATAAAAAAATAATGAATGAAAACCATCAAATGGAACTAACAGCTAATTTTAGCTCCAATAACAGTTCATCAGCTGATAATATAAGATGACAAAGCATATTTATTGTGATTATATTGTCAAAATATGATTTAATATTTCAATTTTTTAGTAGTATGTTTTAAAATAATTTTCATCCTAACTTTAAATTTATAGCTTTAAATTCTTTTATTATATAAGTATGCACAAATCTTCAAAAAAAAACGACTTATTTATAGTTATATATCAATAACCTTCATTTCAAACAGTATAAGAATAAGTAACAAATAAGAATCGAACTCTATGCTTACAGCACTCGGCTTTCGTATCCCCTCTATCACTGATAACAGCAACGAATTCTCGATAATATCGATATTTCGAAACTTGAATAAATGATTAAATTATATTATTGAAATTTTTTTTCAAAAAAAAGTCAAAATAATAAGAAAACCGTTGAATTCTGTTGAATTTGATTTTACTGTAGTTTATAGAAATTCCATCAAATGTGGTTCATTTATTTGAATTTTTAGAAATCATTAAAAATTGACAATTTTAAAATATAAATTAAATAAATAAAATAGATGATTGATATGAATAATTCAAATTCTATTAAATTATATGTATATTTTTTATAATTATTATTTATTTTAGTTTAAACAATAACAGGTTTTCCATGTTTATTTTTTATTTTGAAATTATTTATTTCTTCCAATAATTTTGATAATTTGACAATTTTATGTATTTTTTTAAATGTTTATTGTATTTGATTTGGTTTTTTTTAAATATTTTATATTTGTTTTTTGTTTTTAAATAAATTTTTTTTCAACATTTAGTTCAATGTTGAATTGAATAAAGTAGAATAAAATAATAAAAATAAAAGAAATATTTAATAAAATAGATGCAATAAATATTGTAAAAAATTATTATAAAATAAAAATAAAACAAAATAAATAAATAAAAATAAGAGATGAAATCAATTAAATCGTTGATGGGCAATTATTTTTTGCGAATTACAAGAAACATACCTAAATATTCTCGGTTTAAACTGGCAAAAATAATAATAATTTTGGGCATTTTATTTTTTCAATGTTTCCACAACTTGCTTGCACCATCGTTGCATTTCCTTATTTAAAAAGAAGGAATTGCCCATTTAATCGGAATTTCTCGGCAAGAACGTCCTTTTTTTTCTTAGGAATCAGTTCAGTTATCAGTTTTTCACTCCACTAGTTTTTGATTCATCGATTGATTATGTACCATCGAGTCATTTTTCTTACTCCTGGCAAACCCACAGATATATGACGAGACAATCCAAGACAATTCTATCTTTCATGACTATCAATGGTGTATTCATCGTCCCTGTAACACAGAATCTATCCACGTCATTACCTTTTTTTTTCATCTGTATAAGGTCCTTCTCCAGGAAAGTGAATCATGGGATTATTTTATGCGTTAAATGAAGAACTCTAGTTAGTTATCCAGGCATTCTTAAGAGTTTTCACAAAAAGTCAAAAATAAACTTTTCCTATCCTGCTTCCTTGAAGCCCGAACCTCGCATACACAGAGAGTCACAGGAAATACCATGGCTTGCATTCTAATCTTTGCAGGACTTCATGGTTGCTCTGTGTTGACCTAAGTGCTAGCCTGTCTGTGGCATATTTCTTGTCCTTTACTATTAGTTCTGATCTTAAAAAAGAGATTAAAAACTATTTCGTTCACTGATTAACAATTTAAGACTGGCTGTTAGTCTTTAGTTTTAGTCGCACTTTTTCGTACTTTTAAAAATAAAGCTTGAATTCCTTGCATTTTTGGCTACACGATAATGCCATTAGGTTAGCGCGTATCATTGATGTTTCTTCCTCCAATTTTTTAAATCACATTTTTCCAAACCATCTACGCTATATTCCGTATATAGTTTGCATAAATAAGGGGAGAATAAATACCCTCACAGCACCTCTTTGCCAACTTAAAGCCAACCTATTTTGTCATACTTCGTCCGTACTACGCTTTCTAGTGTTGTGGGATTCCCATTTTTTTGACCATATTCTGTAGCTTAAGATGATCGCCGTAATCAAACGTTTCTCAATAGTCGATGAAGCATGTATTAATATCTTTTTGGTACAATATTTGTATGCCATTATATGTCAGTAATAAAGTCTCCTATTTTTCGGCTCTTTAAGTTGAAATTAAGTGTACTATATGATAACTTAACACAATAATAACACAGTGATAACATAAGCTCATGTTAAGTTTCCTTTCCTTTCCTTCTATTCCTTCTTTGTTTTTCATGTCCTCAACAATAAATGATGTGATTTTCTGATGGAAAATATCCGATCTCATTCTATCTCATTTCACTGTTGTCAGTTTGTAATCGCTTCATTTCATATTTTACTATGTCGACCTTTTCTGAATTCAAGCTTCTTATGTTCCACTTATCCTTTTCCTTCTTCTAACAGCTCTAACCATTAATGGTTAGGTTAGCTCCGCTGACTACAATGGTAAGACGTTCCAATCTGCGCGATCTGATGC